AATGGAATTATTTATTTGCAAGTTTCTTCTTTTTCTTTTTAAAAAGCTCTTTAATTCCACATTAAATGGAATTATTTATTTGCAAGTTTCTTCTTTTTCTTTTTAAAAAGCTCTTTAACAAATTCAAAACTTCGAATTCTCTTTTTGAAAGAATTTAAAACTCCAATTTTGTTTTTCGAAATTCATTTTGCATTTGAAATGATCTTTTGCACTTAAATTCAACTTTCGAAGTTCCCGCCTTCAACTCCCCCGGCCTTCGAGTTCTTTCTCGAACAACTGCAGCAGCAGCAGCAGCAGCAGCAGCAGCACAAGCAGCATCAGCAGCAGCATCAGCAGCAGCAGCACAAGCAGCAGCAGCAGCAGCAGCAGCAGCAGCAGCATCAGCATCAGCAGCATCAGCAGCAGCAGCACAAGCAGCACAAGCAGCAGCAGCAGCAGCATCAGCATCAGCAGCAGCAGCAGCAGCAGCAGCAGCAGCAGCAGCAGCAGCAGCAGCAAAGGGCGTTTGTGTTTTCAGGTGAGCAAAGTGGACCCCGAGGGGAAGTTCGGACTGGACATGCGGGGCCTCAGTCGAAAAAACGGCGAAGACGAAAACCCGCAGAGTCTTCGCAGCCGCCGCGAGGCCATCGTGCTGGAGGCCGTGGTCAACGCCACCTGCCCCCGCTGCGGCGGGTAAACCCTAAACCCTAAACCCTAAACCCTAAACCCTAAACCCTAAACCCTAAACCCTCGGCCCTGGAGTGGGAGCTGGCGGCGGACGCGCTGCGCGGCCGCGGAGAGCAGTGCAGGCGAGGCGGGGGGGGAGGCGCGCTTTCGAGGGCCGCAAACCACGATTTAGGGTTTAGGGTTTAGGGTTTGGGGTTTGGGGTTTGGGCCTGCGGCTGCTTTACTCTGGAGTTCTCAAAGTGCTGCGGTGTACGTACACAGGAAGGGCCACATGGCGCACGAGTGCTACAACACTTCAGGTTTGCAAAAGTCATTTATTTAATTCTTTTTTCAGAAAATAAATAAACTAAATGAACTTCTTTGGAGTGCAAAAAAGGAGTCTTTGAGTCCATTTACTTCAAAATAATTCCAAAATTAATTTAAAATAAATTAAAAATATATTAATTTCAAAAAAGAATTCTTTTATTTCCAAAATAATTCCAAAATAAATTAAAAATAAATTTAAAATAAATTAAAAGTAAATTATTTTTCTTTTCCTCACTGGACTTGCAAAAAGGCTTCTCGGGTGTCGCTACAGCTGCAAAATTGTGTTTTAATTTCCTTTTAATTATTTTAATTATTATTTTAATTATTTATTTAATTTATTTTAATTAATTGTTTTAATTATTTTAATTATTTATTTAATTTATTTCAATTATTTATTTTAATTAATTGTTTTAATTATATTTTGTTCAGGAAAGAAATATGAAATGATAGAAGAAGAAGCCGGCAGCGCCTTGGCGGCTCTTTGCGCCCACACGGCGGCCCCTCGGGAAGCAGCAGCAGCAAATTCAGGTTCTGCTGCAGCAGCAGCAGCAGCAGCAGCAGCAGCAGCAGCAGCAGCAGCAGCAACGGGGGCCA